TGCCAGAACAGCCGACTTCCACTGCCACTGGTTCTTTGAAGCGTCCCACCTGCTGAATTCGGTACATAAGATCACCACCGTTCACATATTCCATCACGAGATATAAACGGTCCTGTGATGATGAGATAAGCGGAAGAGTAACGACGGGAATTAGCTAAATCAATCAGTTACACAATAATAGAAACTTGATTGATTTGTATAAAACATTAACAGATCATGGATTAGGCTCCTGAGCTACCAGATGGTGAAAAAATACTACGTCATTGAAAATTCACCCAGTGATCTATCCTCCAATTGAAATTAAAAACTAAAGTTCGCCAAGGAAACTCATAATACAAACACAGTAGACGAATCAAGTCTACGAGAATGTCGTACATCGGTAAGAAACTAACAACTAACCAACTAATCTAATAAACTGGGCAAAAAATTGCTTCCACTACCAAGAACACACCGTGTTTGTGAGCGCAAACAAGACGAGGCTGGTAGTAGACTGCCAAGGATTATGTTGCAGTGGTATTGCTCGAACTAACATGGGACAAACAGTAAACATCTTCGACAGATATACTCGTCTGCGTACCCAACTGAAACTCTCGTTGAGCCATCCTGAATATCGTACCAAGTGAGACGTAAGGCAGCCTGCTGCGGCATATTCAGTCGAAGAACATCACGAACGCGAAATTCACTTGAGTTCCAGGTATGTATATGAGTTTAGTGGTCAAGTTTCGTGCAATTAGAGTAAAAGCAATCACAAGGTTGACGAAAACTCGGGGAGTGCGCTTACTACATAAGCACTAGGAAGGCGAAAACGGTCATGGGCTGTCAAGGTGTTTTAGACAACCTTATGAGTAGTGCATTGCAGCAATACACGTCACACTAAAATCGATTCGGATTCAGTAACGTCAGAGAAACTCACCATGGTTTGGAAGCAGGAATGTAATCGAACGAGAAACGGCGGTTTGTTTGGTAAGGCGAGGACTCTTCGCTCGGTCATTGCACACTCCACATCGTCATCTTGCAAAATCACGTCTTTCTTGAGGATTTTAACTGCGAATAGCTCATCCATATGTTTTTGTTCAGCAAGAACAACCTTTGGAAATAAAAGACCCAGATGATCAGAAAGAGAGCTAAACAGTTCACTTTAATTATAACATCATCCATTTTGAGGAAAACAGGTCTGTAACCCGAGTGTCTGTGTGGTAAATCTTACATGGCAGCGTGCATTTTTGCGTAAGGAAAACATACCAGCAGGGATGAGGGACCGGTATCTTACCATAAAGCACCAAATATTCCTACATAACTCAGTCAAAAGGATCTGGTTCGGAAATGAGCAACATTGGACCTTTCAAAGAAGATTTACATGAGTTCAGTCCTTTCATTTCACTGTACGGGGCGTGTACGAAGTTAAACGCTCTTATTACCCCGGTTCACTTATCCAGCGTGTTTAGCAACTGTTTTTTCTTTTTCTCTGTTTGTCGGGGTCTTCTTACCCGCAGTTGACTTAGTGAGTGACCGGAGTGGCCGCAACGGCAGGTTTGAATGTTTGCACGGGCGATTCAATGGAAATATCCGCCCTAACACGTCTGACCTCCATCTGTTAACCCGCTCGGATTTGCCCTGTCATAAAATCCGGAGCCACCACTCAAAAGATCGACATCGGTTAGGGAGACCGGGACCCAACACGACTGAACTACCGTTTCGCTTGTTGATTTCACGTGCGCAAACTTTGACACCGTGGCTGGCAGCCATAAACTCAACCATATGTTCATTCCACGAACATGGATAATTGAGGTTCGCAGTACACAGTTGCTCACTCGTCTGTAAATAGGACCATAGATTCTCAAGGTTACAGCATCGTACGATTTGTGGATGACCCAAGGTTCCGTGTTGGGTACTCAGTATGCCTATCAAAGTGTCAGCCTTTTCAAATGGAACACCTCCGTTTCAGTTGTAAGCTTACCAATGGAGGGTCTTGCCAGTAGATTGTAATCGATTTGATTGGGCATGCTGGTTGGCCGGTTCCAATCATTTGGCGTATAAATTTTAAAGCATCTGAGTAACAGTATTTGTCTAGCAGGCTCCACTAATTATATGGAATTCAACGAAATCCATAAATTTCAATTCTACGAGCCACTGCTGATAATCTAAACCAAGTGATCCTAGGGAGATCGCGTCCCAAATTAGTGTCAGTTAGACTTGCTTCAACGTATGTCAAGTGGTTGAAGTAATATCCTTCAAAAATTGCTCGTTACCGATGTCATACATAATTTTCTCTACCTGGTGACCTGCGTCATATTTGTTGGCCCTGGTGGAGTAACGAAGTAATCTCTGCATTACACATGTTTCTGTTGACTAATGGAGCACCAGCCGAATGGACTGCAGAATTTCACTTTCTATTTCGAAGAGGCTAGATCGCAACAAAGGGGAAATGCTGACAATTGTATACTTTATTTGAGGCTGGCATTTTATCGTATAGATAGCCAAGTTATTGATCGATGTATCTTCTGAGAAGGAGCAACCTTGCCATACCGTGCTTCCATAACGGTACCTACAGATCAAAACGCTATACGCTCTGACAAAAAACCTGTAAAGTGGAAGAAAAACACGCTTAGTTGAACAATTCTAAGTTGCTGATCGAACTTTTAGTGTGATATAAGCAAAACTGACGGTCGTGGAAGACGATTAGACCAAAAGCCACTTGCCCCGAAATAATATACACGGCTTTCCTGATCTTGCTTGACCCGTCTCTTTGAGTGGATTTCAAAATTGATTGGGTAAATTTGATGAGGACAAGTGTGACCCACTACATCAATGGGTGGCGTCACCAATTTGGAAGTATAAATAAAACATCACAGCTTTTCTATCCCACTAGCTAATTCGAATACTGAAGGAACACTCCTGAAGAAGCAATGCTGATTACAATAATACGGTTACACAGTTACATTGCAGGCTGGCACAAAGAGGGGAGTACAAGTGGGAAAACAGACACTCTCCAGGCTGTTTGGGCACTCAAAACCGATTGCCTAACTCGCAACTAGACTAAGCCAAAATTATATTACGTTAACGGCTTAAATGATGCTGTACAAAGTGAGTTATCTGCGAATTCCACTCTAACGAACCTAAATTATGTGCCATAAATTTGTTGATTTCGTGAACGTCCTGCTTAAAGTAAATCAACTTCCATCAATGACACAAGGTAGGCAAGTTCGAAAACTCCCAGCGGAATTTTTTCACGTATACCTCACCAGCTTGAAAATTTATTCTTCTTACACGGCAAAGTAAAAAGCTTGTTAATTGCACTGTGAGTGTGGCTTTGAGTCTGATTACTATAGGTTGGTGCATATATTGGGAGTTGCACTCAGCCCCAGAGCTGAACGCGCTTTGCTGAATTGGATCCTAGTGAACAGGCGTCCAGTTCACTATAAACCTGCCAGTTCATTTAAAAAAGCAGAGACTTTTAGCGACTTATGAAACCACCGTTAGATTCAGGCACTTTAATTTGGAGCAGCGCGTGAGATGACTCGTTGGTATTTCTTTGACCATTAATGGCGTTGTTATCTTTAAGATGATAACGTCGTTCAGATGTAGCACCCTTTCGGTGCCCAACTGCCATGCCACCTGAAGGTTGCACGGGGACTGAGATACTGCCACGTTGCCCAAGCCTAGACAGGGGAAGTCGAGAGGCAGAGGTCGGGTTCGCACTACGGACTTTCCGGTCAGTAAATTCGCGCTCTAACCAATTGAGCTATCTCACCCGTCAGGCATGCATCAATTAAAAAAATGGAATAAAATTACCTAACTCCTTATATTTCAATGAAAATTTCGTCCTACTGAAGAAGCCAATCCATGATGTAACGTCAAGAAGCACCGTATAGCTATTTCTTCTATGTTGGGAATCCTCAGAAATAGGCATCTTACGAGACTCAGAGCTTCGAACCTTCAACCTTCCGACCAGTGGGTGAACACTTACCCGTTTGATCACGAGGGGCCGAACAGCAGTATGATTAGCTCTGTATCACAGCTGCCTGTCTGCTTACTCAATTAGTGAAGTACTCCCTCGAACGTACTGCTTTACTTAAATAACGCACGAGTGTAAAATTTGCATGTCTGTTTTCACCCTGCGCTAACGTTAGGAATTGGTAGCAACTCCCGCCGCAGTAATTCCAAGTAATTAATTCCAAATCCTAAGATTTTGTACAGTTCCCGATCGGTAAAAGTTGTCTACACACTACAAACCCATGCTACAATTGTAATAACCCTATTTCAAAACCAAAAGACCTAATTGATTGATTCATTCCCGCAGTTTGGAGAAAAAGCCTTTGATTGACGTTTTCCAAAGATATTAGCCTGAATTCTACACAACTGTAACGAATTCAAAGAAACTGAAAGCACATATTTGAAACACGCCACGATGCTGACGGGCGCGGGTATCGACGGCTAATTCAGCTTGGAAACTACCAAACCCTATCCAGAAAATTTAACCTCTTGCTTATTCCACAGACACAAAAGACTAGAAGATAATCAGTATATGTTATAATAAATATCGGGTCTTGATAGGCACAATAAGGAAGAAGCCAGGCAGTTCTTCCATAGCTGGGCGGTTCTACGTCACCGGAACACATCACACCAACAATATAACTCTTCGACAAACTCCTCGACGGTGGAACTAACGGCAGAACTAACTACACACAGTGAAGTGTAGTTGGCTTGTTCACAAAAACCTAACTAAAGCCATGTGTTTTCTCATGTTTTGGAACTCAGCATCATCGCTAGCATTCACTGTGTCCAAGATGTCTAATATATCCTGAAAATACGTTGCTGAGAAGTATTTATACCACACAGATGAGTTTACATAGGGAGAGTAAAGGAGGAACGGACGACTGGGTTTTTTGTTGCTGAAAATCGAAAAGCATCAGAAACTGAGTAAAAGACTTTTGAAGAGGCGTACATCATCCCGAAAACTCAAAAATTGCTTACCATAATAAACAAAATAGTACGAAACACCATGGCTCCTGATGTAACTGCCATCGCGTTAAAATGGTTGTTATGGTAACTGAGATGATGGGACCTTCACTTAGCATTCCGGTTATTCAGAATCTATCGACTAGTTTTGGTTAACGTCATTTGTGTACTTGATCTGCTTACGAAGCAACTCATGAGAACGCTCGTATTTTCCGAACGTCGGAGAGCAAAAATACAGAATTTCTCTTCATACACTGTTAGTAAGGATGCAGTGTCGTTCGTGAAATCTGTGGACTGTGTTGTACCGTCACACGAGGGTGTTACACTAATGGACACTATTCGACCAGTATGATTCAGCAGGTGTTCGCAAACAACTGAATGTGCGTCGAGATCCCCAGGAATCCAGACAGCTAGGAGAATTCTCCGATAGTTTAAGAGGGCCTAGTTATCGTCAATGTAACTCTGAAGAGAATTGCACATAGTTACTGAGCATTATCGACCACAACCCCCGATGAAATTAGGAAACAACATATTTGGGAGTGTAATTACCTCATGCCCAACTGATCAGCAGGTTGGTGAGCCAGCGCTTATAACGGACGAATCTAGCTCAGGTTGATATTCCTAGAGGAATGCATCATGTGTCACCTCGTCTAACGAAGCATACTAACGAGACCAGAAAAGCCGGAAGAAAGAGGAATTACAGTAATGGTACTCGGTAGTGATATTAGCTGGATTCACGATGGTGAGGTTTTTATCTCCTAAAGACTCAAAATTTGCGACGGGGAATGACAGAGGAACTAAAAACGGGAATAAGAGCAGAACAACCTGAAAACTTGATACTTCGGCACGCAAGCCATTTCGCACTTGCATAGGAAGTAGAATGGAGTTATGTCTTGATGTTTTTAAGAGAAAGTAAATCTAAGACACTGGACATGATGGTGTGAGCTCAATATAATAAGGAAATTTCGTTAAGGAAAATAAGAATGTCAGCCACTTCCTGTCTGACTCGAAAAAATGGCTGTTTGTCGTTGTTTTTATGTTATCGTGTGGGGACGGTGATAGCCTGTGTGAAATGTTATCAGCAACTCCATAAAAGTCAGAATAAAAACATCCTACTACATTCAGCGCCGTTAAAAAGCCTAACACAAACATTGTTCTGTAAGCTAAGTCAAAGAATTACATAAATCCTGGATGTATGGGATTTTTATTTTGAATACTCCTTTTCTCCACATCCACCGGATATTCTGTGAATGAACCACATATAAGTCTGAAAGTGTGCCTAATCGACCAATCCACTGCTAACCCCGTGACACACCAGTCATACACTAGGGTTTCAAATTACTTGTTTAGCATCCTGTTCATTGTTGTGGAGGTCAGCCCCTTCTACATCCAGTAACATCAACGGCTTTCGGATGTTTGAGTGATATCAATATCCGGACAAGTTTGGAAATCATATTAAAGGCCCGTTATTGATAGTGAGAAGCATCAGCTTTTAATTGAACAAGGTAACACTCTGTCTGATCACTGGTGAACTGAAGTGCATGTGCACGATGTCCGGTTGACACAGTGCTCGGTCAGTAGGCGAGATGTCTCGGGTCAAAACCTGTTAGAGGATTTTTATTTGGTTGCTCGAACCCTAATATAGGCCCGCATCCAGGATTGTTCCAGTCCGAGACTTTTCAGGACTGGAGGTGAATACAGTTTTATTTGGAAGCATGACCAAACCAACGCGATCAACGGACATTACCTTACCGTCAACTATGTGTAAGAGGCTTTAGTCAAATTACATCTGAGTTCAGAAAAGTCGAATCCTGTTTGTACACAAACTAGACTAGAGCTCCGGAAACTATCATATTCGACAACTGTAGAATGTTGAATTGCGGTTGCTAGGTTTTGCAAGGTGTCATAAAACTTGCAACATTCTGCTACCGAATAACCATCCGACTGTCTCAAAAATGATACCATACTTAACCAAACAGGCCATTTACCAACGTAATCAACTGGATATTCACACTGTGTTGGAAAAATGGCACCTTAGATGCATTCATTGGTTGCTGATCACGTGGAGGTTGATCACCAACCTTCGTGGTTGAATTGTAAACATTTCGCTATCATTCGAGGAAACATCAACAAGAGTCACCAAAGAAATGCGTGCTGATGATTCCACCTCGAGTGGCAATGAAACGTTGGCAAATCAGTTGCCAAACTCCACGAAGAGCTCAACAGCCATCTGATCAACTGCCAACAATCGGACCTATGTACATGGTACATGGATTCCACTAGTCGCAGTTATGCAGTGCTGATTATGATTACTAAGGTTTTGTTGAAGGAAGGTTGTCCCAAGGGTGTTATTGACAGAAGAAGCTCGGTAATGTCTCACGGAAGGATTCCTAGTCAACAAGATTCAGCGAACAGTTCACGTGGAATCGCCCAACAATCTTGAATCTTGAGTACTCTAGAAGATTGGGACAGCTGGAAATTACTGTGTGCGGTGCATTAAATGAAATAACGTACCTTTCCAAAACTCCCGCGACCGAGCATAACCAAAAAATTGAAGTCACTCCAGCGAGGAATGTCAGGTTTATTTCTGTGGCAAGCATTGTCGAGGGAAGTCCTGGTGTGGGATGATTCGGTAGCCAGTCGGAGATGCTCAGTGGACATACGCTGCAATATTGATAAAGAAAAAAATCGAGTGAGATAGTGAAGCAGCAGGTCTATCTACCAACGCCGTATCATTTTCCTAGCAAGGTTCTGAAGTATCTTACGCAAGGCACTTAGTGGAAAATGGCGCACTGAGCTCTGTGTACCGGCTCTAGTAAGGCAAGTTGAATACCATAACCCTACTAGATAATAGGAACATACGCAGCCAAATCACATTTCTGATCGCTATTACAGTGCTATAAAAGTGCGTTGCGCCTCAAATAAACAGTGTTTCGTGGTCCTATGTTTCATTGTCACGTTTTGGAGACTACATGCTCCCGTACCCTTGTTTTGATAAAATAATTTAGTTTGTTGTATTTCACGACACATATCTTAGTCAAGGAAAAATACAGCGTCATCAACGTATTGCTGTTCATGGATGAACATCGTACTCACTAAACTTGTTCTGAAGCTTTAGCGACAACCTGCTTATAGTGGTACTGGGATTTGGCCCAGCTATAACTCTTTCCAGTCAGCGTACAAGTACAACAAACAGTCTCGCCATACCGATTAGTATATTATTATGCTTGAATACCGGAGAGTGGTTCGCGTGATGTCTGACAATTTGATCGGTTTGTCTGATAATACATAACTAAAGGCGAGACCTCTGTGACGTACTTTTTTCTGCTCATTAGTTGAATGACTGTAAATGGCTGTAAAACCTTCAGAACAGTTGTTCTGGCCAGTATTCACTTAATCAAATCAAACCCTATTTGCACTAGTGCTATGGCGAAAAAGACCCGATACTGTATTTTACAGAATATTAAGGTGCCGAAAAATTGCGACAATTTATGGACGTAATACATTAATCATATTTTACTGAGATACCTTTCACAGTCCATAGAGCGTTTCACCCTTTTTGGGCGATAATTTGTGTCCCAGAAGTTATGGAGTGTACTACGCCTACTAGTCGCCTGCCGTCGAATTACGAATTTCGTACTTCCGCCACAGAAAGATAATTTACCAACTCGCGGCACAAAGCAGAGTAGGTACGTGGCAAACGTTCGAACACATTCAATGACCCTATTGGAACGGGTGGCTCCTCTGCGAATATACTATCTACCATTTCTGTCTCCAATATCCCATGGAAACCCACACGGACAATCATCAGTCACAGTTAAGCAACTTCCTCAGCTGAACCGTGAACTCAGGTGAGAACCAGGGCAAAACCGGGCAATCACGCGGCGTTTATCTACGAGGATTTGTTTTTATACTGCACCAAATGTGGTCAGTTGTAAATAAAACGGGGTTAAATAACGAGAGAAATCAAGACAACACAGGCGAAAAAAACATCGCAATAGGGTTTTCGGTGGGAAAACATCTCACCTGATACTGGATTGCGACACCAATAGACGACTGAACTGATTGACAGTGTTGGTGATGCGTCTTGACCGTAAACATATATCTATCTTTGGTATTTGATGACGGCCAGTGCTAGGATATTCCACGACATGGCCTCATTAAAATTGGTTTTTTCTTTCTAGAAAGTCCACCTGAGATTTCCCCATGCAAATCTTTTCAACCAAGTATGAGTTCTTAACAAATCGACTCGGTAAACAAAATTCCGAGCCGCTCGAATATACCCGGAAAAGTCATAAGAAAAATAAAATTTATTTTGTGTTTAGTCCTTTGGAAATTTACGAAACAATACAAATGAACGCAGTGAATAATAAAAGTGGAGAAACTTTCGCAAACACTGGAGCTAAACACGCCGGCAACAATCGCAAAGTGTGGCGACATCCGGCGATCACCTTCTGTTCTTTAACTTCGGGTGGCCAGTTCTGCAGCAGCCAACAGTTACTTTATCTACTTCTAACTAAATCCAACCCCAAAGTTGCTGCGTTTGTGTATACTGTACTTTAAGCTGCATGCGAGCCACACACCGCAATCACTTGTTCGTTGTCTCTTTTGCGAGTATAAACAAACAGACAAAACCGCTCAGCAACCTAGATACAAGGTATCAGCAAAAATAATTTGTACAGATCTAGGAGGACTTCATTCGAACCACGTCTTGGTCTTCACAACCCAAGTTCGTCTCCATCTGCCCACAACGCTCGGTGTGTGGCACATCGTATTTTCGAGCAGTATCACAGTTGGTACAGTTCCTTGCCAATCATCTTTTTGTGAAATACGCGACGGCAGTTGGACCGGGTAAATGAAAATAAACCATAATGTCCAGCAAAAAACTATCGGAAACGTTTTCGTAATGTGTGTGGTCTATTTGTATCCATATAGACACTGGTTAACGGCCGTATACACTGCGACCCCACAATGAGGAAGTGTACAAGGTGAGCGAGGAAACTCCATTGTGTGGTTTACCCTTTTCTAGTTTTTCTCGAGACACGTAACACGTTACCAGGAAACAATTTTGCACAAACCCAAGTGGTTTAACAAATAATCAGATCTGCGCTAAGTGTTAATAGTCATTTCCTTTTCGCTGAGTAGACACGAAAGCTATCAATTCCAACATCCTTTACCCCACTCTCTGGAAGTTAATTCGCAACCATGGATTCGAAACTGTCATCTAAGAAGTGGGGGGTGTATGTTTCTGTTTGACAATCGGGCAAAAGATGAGTTGTGTCTGCCAAATACACCACACCAGATAACAACCATTGAACATCGTTAAACTGAAGCGTAGCTAAAGGAATTGTTGGATATTTTGTTTATCTCCAATCAATTTATGTCTGACGCAACGAAACTAGAGGCTCTGGCTAATCCAACACTCGGTCTGGTGTAAGTAATCAGACAGGTACGCTTTCGACACTCAGAGGAATTAGTTACAGTTCTCACAAGCTGCCTTGTTTCTTCTTATGAACAATATAGCGAACCGCTGATAAATCCACCATAAGCTCGCTTCCCTGATTAGTTTCACACTTTGCTTAAGTGACCAAGATTTGTGTAGGAATGACAATCTGGTCGCTGGTCTGGCAAATGAGTACAAATCCATGCAAGCACATTAAAAGTCATCAGTTCGAGAACGACAAAAGCAGAGCAAACATGATGAGTACTCAGCCACTTGAGCTAAGTGTTTAAATTCCTCCAAAACTGTACAAAACTTTGCTTTGTGTAAATTCTACAGACTACAGGTTCGACCTAAAGCTGCCACCTTGACGTGGTGGTCGGGCTTGAGTGCTGCAAAGATCCCGCGGGCTACACTTGCTGGAACTTCGTTCCACAAGGTACAACCATGCCAGGAAGGCCAAGGGGAGCAGCCAGACCAAGAGCAGCGTGACCGCTGGCGCATTATCCAATACGGTCGAAATACTTTTAAAGCCAAAGAGCCCGGTGCTGCTCAAAAGGCACTTGGTGTGTGCAGCCGCATCAGGAATGAGACAGTAATGCCTTATTCCCTGCGCCTTGGGGTTAGGCCAACCCCCTGCAGCCGAGCAGGTCAGACTATTGAGTCATCGGCTCCGGGCAGGGTCCCCAAAGAAAAACCTATATTCTCCCACTGCCTCGTGGGTCAGACT